TCCGCGCCGTCTCGCGCAACCACCCCCCATGGGGCGGTCGGGGGCGAACGTGCCGGCGCAGGACTTCTTCTCCACCTGCGCCTCCGGGCGGCGCCAGATGCGCCCCCACTTTTCGGAGCGCATCTCTTCCTCGGCCTGGGAGATGACCCCCCAGTGGCGAGGGGAGGCGGCGCCCATCTGCCGCACGCCCTCTTCGCGCTCGCCCAGAGGACCCGGCAAGCAAGTCAAAAGGGCCCCCATGGCGGCGCGGAACACGCGCCAGCAGGCCCGCCACTGCTCGAACGAGGACGGGCCCCTAACCTGGCGCGTTACCTACTCGCCGCCCACGAAGACCTGCGCGGCGAAGCGCGCGACCTCCTGCCGGCGCCCCCCGAAAGGGCCCCCCGCCGTCACGTCGGCGCGAGGCGCGGCGTCCTCCGCGAGCCTGGGCGCCGAAGCAGAGATCTGGTCACCCGCGGCCCCTTCGCGCCCACGAAGAGGCCCCCGTGTTTTTCCTCGCACTCGCCCAGGAGGAAGCGCAACTGAGGCCCCGGATGCAACTCGAAGTCTCCGTCGCCAGCCTGATCTGAGAAGGCCGAAACTGCTTCCGAGATGACCTCCTGGATGGCGCTCGGGGCGCCGCGCCGACCCCCGGAGGACCGCCTGGAGGACCACCCGGAAGACCCTGGAGGACCCCCCGGCGCAATGACGGCCGCAGGACGCCCGCCGAGGTTGGCGACGTCGGGCGGCGGCGCGCCCCCGATCTCCGCCACCCGGCCCAAGAAACGCATGAGTTCGCCCTTCTGCAAGGCCGCGAGCGGCGCACCCGACAACTCGCACGAGCCCAACGAGGACGTCGAGTCGGCGACGCGCGCCCCGAGCAGGTCGCTCGCGGATATATCGCGTCGCATTCCCCTCCCAACTGCACAACGAAGACGCCCCACAGCTGCTCGCCCATTCCTGGGGGGGCCGCCACGGCGGCGACCCTCAGGCTGCAGCTCGCCCCCGCGGCGCCTGGAGCACGCGCCTCGGGGGTCGGCGCGCCGAACGCTGCGGGCGCCCCGACCGCGGCCGGGCCCCCGGGCCCCCCCCCTGGCCAGAGACCCCCCCAAAAACAACGCCAGGCGCCCCCACGCCCGTTGGGGGGGGGGCCGCGTCGGAACGCCAGGGACACATGAAACGAAAGAACGAAGGACGAATGCACATGGGCAAGACAGAAAATCAAATGAGATGGACACTGAAGCCCAAATGGCCAAGATAGTAACGCCATCGGCTGGCTCCTTTGTTCCTCGCCGCATTACACGCACACCCCTGCACCACGGCGAAGGCGAAGAGCCAGGCGCCAGGCCTCGGAATCGACCGAGGCCACAGCATCGCAGGTGGCAAGGGGAAGCACACCAAGAAGACGGCGCACGCTGATCGTCGAGTGGCACGGCCCATCAAGATGGCGCGAAGCGGCAGACGCGCCAGAGGAGGAGCTCGAGCACACGTCCAGCGAGGCGCCCCTCCTCGCGCCGACCACTCGCGGCAGGTATTCGGCATGGCGCCGAGCACGGCTCGCAAGTGGAGGAGGCGGCTGGCTTCGGCAATTGCCCAGGAGCTACGAGGACCGCTGCCTCGCCACACTGCTCCAGGTCGAGATCGCCAAAGGCGACCCAGCGCTTGGCTCCGCGTTCGCGCTGCTGGACTCATGGACGCACACCATCAGCGGCGAGGCGAGGAGGGAGAATGCCAAGCTTATCTGGCCGAAGATCGTGGCCACAGTCGCGAAGAAGGAGGTGAAGCGCTGGTGGCGAGGCGTCACGGGCATCACGCGCGCGATGGTCAACGCCCTCGTAGACCAGGGCTGGACGCTGAAGGGTCCGCAGCACTGGATCTCGGACAGCGGCGAGGTCGGAGGCGGCGAGTCGACAGGAGCACTCAAGGGCCACGTGGACGTCAGCGAACTCAAGCAGGCGCTGGGCGCGGCCATTGAGAAGCGGCAGTGGTCGGAGGCGGGGCAGGGCTGGAGGACGGCGTCGATCTTCGGTCAAGCAAAAGGGCGAGTGCGAAAAGGTCGGGGCGCATCTGGCCATCATGACAGGCGACGCGTGGCCGAGGCAGCGCGTGGCCGACCTAGGCATCGAGATCGATGACGTGGTGCGCCCCACTTGTGGCGAGGAGGAAGAGTCGCGGGAGCATCGCATGCAGAAGTGCCAGTGTAACGAGCTCTTAAAAGATTACCAGAAATCGATACACCTGTTGGCGAAAGCCATGGACGAGCTTGAGCAGAGCATCCAGCCGTGCTTGTGGCTCAGAGGTCTGCTGCCCAAGTCGTGGACGGAGGCCAGGCCACCGCCAGAACCTGGAGAAGAGCTGCTCGAACGCATCGGAAACCACGACCACCTGGACAAGGACGGTTGGCTGATCGCAGCGGGCGACGCGTCGGGCGGCAAGTACAACAAGGACCCGCGGTTTCGTCGGATCGCTTGGGGCTGGGTAGCCCTGCAGACGACGGATAAGACCAAGACGTGAAGCTCTCGCAGTATTGCGGCAGAAGGTCAACCGTGGGGAGTTGCAGGCGCTGGGGGCTGCTGATCCACACGAGCGGATTCCAGAAGGCCGAATACGTCGCCGACTCCTCGTACGTGATGCGGGGCGTGGCCAAGCTGAAGCAAGGGACGAGTCCCAAGACGCACGAGGACCTGTGGAACGACGTGCGCGCGGCCATGCAGGGCAGGCAGCTGGACATGATCAAGATCGAGAGCCACATGACGGCGGCGGAAGCTATCGGCGCAGGAGTAGACCAAGTGCAGTTCCTAGGCAATTCGTTGGCCGACCATTTCGTGGTCCACATCATCGAGGGCGTGCAGGTGCCGAGGGCAAAGGCGCGGCGCGCGGGCTGGACTGAAGGGATCGCATCCTTGATCCGCGCCAGGGCCCACGCCACTCTCATGGCGCGCATCGAGGTGGAGGCGGCGCAGTACCCAACCAGAGCCGAGCGGAAGGAGGCTTTCGTGAAGAAGCGGAGGCGCGAGAAGCTGCTGAAGGAAACCCAGCACAAGATCGGCTGCGACGTGGACAGCAAGCACTACAAGTGTTCGGCGTGCGGCGACAAGGTGCTGATCAGCACGACGAACGACTGGCTGGCGAGCGAGTGCGTCCCGATGGTGAGCGAGCACACGTCCTCGTTCAGGGCGCAGAGGTTGCCCACACCAGCCATCAGACGAAGTACGAACAGGTGCTGGAGCTGCACTATTGCGAACTGTGCGGGTGCATCGCCAAGGAGACGATGAAGGACTTGGCGAAGGAGTACAATGAGACGCCCAAGCAGATGGAAAGGCAAAACATGAGCAAGATCGAGCAAGGGTTGCAGCATGGCACGTCAGAGCTCGCGATCGAGCTCAACAAGAAGAAGCTGAGACTCTGATGTCGCGCGCCGTTTGCGCGCGAAAGTCCGAGGTGCTGGGCCCAGCCTGGGCCACTGGCAGCGAAGGCCCTCCGCTACAAAAAGTCGTCGTTGTTGTCGTCGTCGTCGTCGTCGCCATCGGCATCGACATCGTCGTCCTCATCGTCATCAGCATCATCATCATCATCATCAGCAGCAGCAGCATCATCAGCAGCAGCAGCGTCACATCATCATCATCAGCATCATCAGCACCATCATCAGCAGCAGAATCCTCATCAGCAGCATCATCAGCAGCATCATCAGCAGCATCATCACCACCACTACCGTCATCATCATCATCATCATCATCATCATCATCATCATCATCATCGTCATCATCATCACCATCATCATCACCATCATCATCATCATCATCATCATCATCATCATCATCATCATCATTATCAGCAGCATCATCATGATCCACAGCAGCAGCATCGTGTTTATCACCATCATTATCAGCAGCATCAACATCGCCGTCATCACCACCATCATCATCATCATCATCATCATCATCATCATCAGCAGCAGCAGCAGCATCACAACCACAACCATCATCATCAGCATCAGCATCAGCATCAGCCTCATCAGCATCATAATCATCATCAGCAGCATCAGCATCATCATCATGGTCGTCATCATCATCATCATCAGCATAATCATCATCATCATCATCATCATCATCATCATCATCAGCATCAGCATCATCATCATCCTCATCATCGTCATCATCATCATCAGTATCGCCATCGTTATCGCCATTGGAATCGGAATCGGAATCCACATCGGCATCGTCCTCATCATCATCGTCATCATCAGCATCATCATCATCATTATCAGCAGCAGCATCATCATCATCGTCATCGGAATCGGCATCGGCATCGGCAACGTCCTCATCAGCATCATCATCATCATCAGCAGCAGCAGCATCATCACCAGGATCCTCGTCATTATTCATCGTCGTCATCATCATCGTTGTCATCACCATCAGCATCATCATCATCATCATCATCATCAGCAGCAGCAGCAGCAGCATCAACATCAGCAGCATCAGCACCACAGTATTGTCATCCTTACCATCATTGTCATCATCCTCATCATCACCATCATCAGCATCACCATCATCATCGTCGCCATCATCATCGTCGTCGTCATCGCCATCGGCATCGACATCGGCATCATCCTAATCATCACCACAACCACCATCATCATCATCAGCATCATCATAATCATCATCAGTATCATCATCATCGTCGTCATCATCATCAGCAGCATCATCAGCATCATCATCGTCATCATCAGCAGCATCTTTATATGATTCATCATCATCATCATCATCATCATCATCATCATCATTGACATCATCAGCAGCAGCATCAGCATCATCATCGTCATTATAATTTCCCTCCTCATCCTCTTCATCCTGTTTCCTTCCCTTCCTCCTGCTCCCCAGCTCTACTCACCCTTCTTCTGTTGAACATGTTGTTCTGACTTCCTTCTCCTGATTCCCTCATCCTCCTCCAAGGTGGTCGCGGCCAGCCACTCACTTGCCCATCTTCCACCCCCTCAATCAGCTACGAGCCCAAGTCCCGTCCGCTGCTTGCTGCCCTTCTGCCCAAGGTTGTGAGGTCTCCACCGGTGTACGCTTCCATCACCATGTAGTGGAACGCCTGATCCTTGCAACGCGCAGCCGCCAACAGCGGCAAGATGGAGGGGCAGCCGCCCAAAATAAGCTGGATACATGAAGCAAGAAACTATACCGGCTCAGACATCGTGGCGCCGCCCTCGAAGCAAAGCAGCAAAACCTGGGCGCCCAGGCTAGCTGCAGCAGCCTGCCAATACCTTCACAGTGTTGGAGCGTCCACTCCCTGTCAAACCTAAACTCCCCGTGCCAACTGCTTAATCCATCATCATCGTCATCCTACCAAACAGAATGACACTGTGCACGGAGTGGAGGTGTCCTCAATTCGTTTGCCCAAACCCCTGAGCCTCAGTCCTCGATCCTACGGGATCTTGAATGGGCTGGACCCCACTTGCCAAACTGCTCCGCGTCGGACCAACGGACCGCCGCTCCGCTCGTTGGCTCAAAGCATGCGCGCCGGCATTGTTTGCCTCGCTCCCATTAGCGAAGCGCCGTTCCGCGAATTGGGTTACAAACCCATTAGCGGCGCTAATTGGCTTCGAACCAGGTGGTTACGATTGCTTCGCTGCCATTAGCGGAGCGCCGCTCCGCCTGTCGGCTTCGAACCAGACGATTCCTTCGCTCCCATTAGCGGAGCGGCGCTTGGCTAATTTGCCTCAAACCAGGAGATTGGCAGATTGCTTCGCTCCCATTAGCGTAGCGGCGCTCCGCTAACTGGACTGGAACCAGGGGATTACGCGTTCGTCGTTCCCATGAGCGGCGCGCCGCTCAGCAAATTGGCCTCGAACGAAGGGGTTACGATGGCTTCGCTCCAATTAGTGGAGCGCCGCTACACAAACTGGGCCCGAACGAAGCGATTACAAGTGCCCTCCCATCAGCGGAGCGCTGCTCCTCTCATTGACACCAAACAAGAGGATTCGAATACTCACTCCTGCAGAGTCTGTAAGACGCCACGAGCCCAAATTAACAAATCTCTCGGGCTTGTCGCGGCTTGTCGGGGGTACCCGCGGCTTCTCGCATCAATATTGCGACTCACGAAGGCCCCAAGACTGGCCAAGAGGCCCAAAAGAGGCCCTCGTGATGGTCCAAGGAGGTCAAAAAATTCTCCCAAGAGGCCCCCGAGAGCGACCCGACGAGAAACCCAAGAAGCATCCCTACAAACTCTGACCCACAACCCAGGCACAGTGGCGGGCTGGGCCAAAGCCATCAGATATTCTTCCTCGACCCTCCTCTATCCCTCACTGTCTCACGTACCCTCTCCTCCTCCATCTCTCCCTCCTCCTCCTCCTCCACCTCCTCCTCCCCCTCATAATCCTGCACCTCCACGTCCTCCTCGTCGTCAGCGTGAGCGTCATCGTCATCGTCATCATCAGTACCACCATGAGCATCAGCATCACCAAAAACACACCGCCATCACCACCACCACCACCACCACCACCATCATCATCATCATCATCAGCATCATCATAATCATCATAATCACCATCATCACCATCATCACCATCATCATCAGCAGCATCATCGTCGTCATCATCATCCTCACCACCACCACCATCAGAATCATCATCAGCAGCAGCATCAGCATCATCATCATCATCATCAGCAGCATCAGCATCAGCAGCAGCATCATCATCATCACCATCAGCATCATCATCCTCATCATCAGCATCAGCAGCAGCAGTACCATCATCAGCATCAGCATCAGCAGTAGCATGAGCAGCAGCACCATCGTCACCATCATCAGCATCAGCATCAGCAGCATATCATCGTCGTCATCATCATCATCATCATCATCATCATCATCATCATCATCATCATCATCATCATCATCGGTATCGTCATCATAATCATCATCAGAATCACCATCCTCATCATCAACGTCATCATCGTCATCATTAACAGCATCATCACCAGCATCGTCACAATCCGCATCATCAACATCATCAGTATCAACAGCATCATCATCATCATCATCATCAGCAGCAGCATCAGCATCGTTATCAGCATCATCAGAATCATCACCACCATCATCATGAACATCAACACCATCAGCATTACCAACATCATCATCAGCATAATTATCTCGCCGTCATCCTCAGCATCAGCATCAGCAGCATCATCAGCATCATCAGATCATCATCATCATCAACAGCAGCATCATCGTCGTCAACAGCATCATTAGCAGCAACATCATCATCATAATCAGCAGCATCGTCGCCGTCACCGTCATCACCGTCATCGGCATCATCAGCATCATTAAAAACATCATCACCAGCATCGTCATCATCGTACGCAGCATCCTCATCAGCGTGCCAGTCGTGTGCGAGCCGGCGGATGCAGAGCGATCACAAGGCATCTTCATCGACAAACAACGATCAGCACCGGAATCTGACAATAATCCGGATCACAAACAATCACCATCAATCAGCGCTGCAATACTCATCATCATCACGACATCCGCATCAGCATCACATCAGCATCAGCATCCGACGTGCGCGTCAGAATCGATCAGGCATCAGTCAGCACAGTGCGATCCGACATCATCCGCAGTCACAGGGACCGCACCATCAGCCGTCACATGCGTGCCATCACGAATAAGCACGCAAACAGACATGCTTCATCAACAGCATCATCATGATTTGTGTCGTCGTCCTCATCATCATCATCATCATCATCATCATCATCATCATCATCATCATCATCCTCAGCATCGTCATCATCAGCATCATCATCATCCTCAGTATCGTCAACATTAATTTTGTCATCATCATCAGCATCATCATCCTTATCATCATCGGCGTCATCATCGGCATCATCATCCTCATCAACATCATCATCATCATCATCGTCATCGTCGTCAGCCGCAGCAGCATCCTCCTCTTCCTTCCTCATCCTCCTCGTAGCACGAGGACCAGGCCGTGCAGCGTCTCATTGAGGGCGAGCTGAGGTCTGCGGACAAAAACTTCGAGAAGGACCTCACGGCAGACGTAGTCAACAATGTGCAGAACAACATCGAGGGAGAGCTGAGGTGCGCGGGGCTTGAGAATCAGCTGGACCTCATGGCGGACGTGGGACCACACGAGCACAGCCTCTGCGATCGCAAGTGAGGACACCCCCAAGGAGATTGCGGTGCAGCCTCTCGTCGTGGATGAGCTGCAGGCGGAGGGACAGGAGATTGCGGTGCAGCCTCTCGTCGTGGATGAGCTGCAGGCGGAGGGACAGGAGAAGGTCTACATAACTTCCAGCAGGTGCAGCGCCTCATCAAGGAGGATGTCAAGCACGGGGGCCAGGAGGGCGTCCTGGCCGTGCACATGGCGGGAGTGGACCCGCTTGCGCAGCAGCTCTCTGACGATGAGCCGCAGAACCTCCTTTGGATGCAGAACCTCGTCGTCAATGAGCCTCGCACGGCACCGGCAGAGCTTCACTCGGGAGCATGAGCTCGCGTGGGCCAATCACTGCACCGACCTTGCAGACGTGCTGTAGCGGATTTCTGCGTGGGCTTCTGTCGATGTACAACCCGAAACGGCGAGCGAAAAACGAAATGAATTTCACGTGGATTTGTTTAGTTGTCATTCCTGGCCAAAAAAATCCGCACAAAAATCACTTCGAAATCCGGAACGAAATTCTCCAGGACACTCTGGGCCCATCCTATTGTTTTCCAAAGTCCGCTCTGCGATGTGGGCGCCACGAGGCCAAGGTTGCAGAAGGCAGGTGGTGGCTCGACAGCGGTGGACCGGGAGCGGCCGCAGTATTCGGAGTGGCCGGTCCCTGGAGGAGGGCAGCGGTATGGGTCCAGTTGGGGGGCGGGGCGTCATCGGCTCTGGCCGAAGGCGCCGCCCCACCAAGCGGGCTTGGTCTCGACAAACCCACACCTCCCCACCCCCAGCCCCCACACCCCCTGACTCGGACCAGAAATCAAGCGCAGGTCCTCCTCCTCCTCCTTCTTCCCCTCCTCCTCCGACGCTTCCACCTCCTGCTTCTCCTCTGAAGCGGAGCAGCAGCGCTTCGCGTCCTGAAACACATCGAGGACCTTTGCGACGTGGCGGCTGTCCTGCCCTGGCCGTCCCCTTTACTCCTCCTCCTCCTCCTCCTCCTCTCCTCCTCCTTTCTCTCCTCCTCCTCCTCCTCCTCCCCTCCTCCTCCTCCTCATCCTCTCCCCTGCTCTTCATCCTCCTCCTCCTCCTCCTCCTCCTCCTCCTCCTCCTCCTCCTCCACCTCCCCCCCTCCTTCTCAGACTACTCCTCCTCCTCTCCTCCTCCTCCTCCTTCCGCTATGCATCATCATCACCATTCAATCAGCAAGAACCATCATCATCATCAGAATATCATCATCATTATCATCATCAATATCATCATCATTATCAGCATCATCATCATCATCATCATCATCATCATCATCATCATCATCATCATCATCATCATCATCATCATCATCATCATCATCATCATCATCATCATCATCATCATCATCATCATCATCATCATCATCATTATGATCATCATCATCATCATCACCATCATCAATTACATCATCATCAGCATCACCATCAGCATGCATCATCATCATCATCATCGTCCACAGTATCCTCATCATCATCATCATCATCGTCGTCATCAGCATCATCACAGCCAACACCATCATCATCATCATCATCATCATCATCATCATCATCATCAGCATCACCATCATCATCATCAGCATCATCATCATCATCATCATCATCATCATCATCATCATCATCATCATCATCATCATCTTCATCTTCAGCATCATCATCAGCAGCAGCACAGGTAGCAGCAGCAGAAAGCAGCAGCACTAGCATCGGCATCATCAGCACCAGCAGCAGCACCCGCATCAGCAGCATCATCAATATCAACAGCAGAACCATCATCGTCGTCACCATCATCATCAACATCATCAACATCATCATCGGCATCATCATAATCATCTCCAACATCATCCGCATCATCTGCATCCTACTCTTCATCCTCATCCCCCTCCCCTCCTTTTTCTCCTCCTCATCCGCCTCCTCCTCGTCATCATCATCATCATCGTCATCGTCACTGGTGTCATCATCATAATAATAATAAAAATAAAAATCATCATCATCATCATCAACAACAACATCATCATCATCATCAGCATCATCATCATCATAATCAGTATCTTCATCATCATCATCATCACCATCACCATCATCCAGATCATCATCATTGCCAGCATCATCATCATCGTGAGATCACCATGATAATCAGCATCACCATCAGCATCATCAGCATCATCATCGTCGCCGCCGGCATCATCATCATCATCATCATCAACACCATCATCATCAGCATTATCATCATCATCATCGGCATCATCAGTATCATCATCAAAATCAGCATCAGCATCATCATCAGCAGCATCAACAGCATCACCATCAGCAACACCATCAACAGAATCCGCATCATCGTGGTCCGCAACATCATCATCATCATCATCATCATCATCATCCTCATCATCATCATGATCATCATCATCCTCTTCCTCCTCATCGTCGTCATCTGTACTACCGTCATCATCATCAACATCACCATTATCAGCAGCATCATCGTCACTGTCATCAGCATCATCATTAGCAGCAGCATCATCAGCATGAACATAATCATCCTCATCATCGACAGCATTGGCTTCATCACATCCGTCGTAAGCATCCAAACCAGTGCATCAGCTCAATCATCAGAAACATCGCTATCATCATCACAAATACCCTCACCATTACCACCATCATCATCATCATCATCATCATCATCATCATCATCATCGTCAGCATCATCAT